TATATATATATATATATATATATATATATATATATATATATATATATATATATATATATTGCTAATTAAAAAGGCATAATAAAAATAAACATAATCTAAAAGTAGCAAGTCATGCTAAAATAAGTAAACTAATAAGGGAGTATAAATTACATGACTAAACGCTAAAGAAAAATAAAAATAGGTTATGCATTTTTATCTAAATTATTGCAAAACAAAAAATAAATATTCAATACATTGTCATTCCTAGTATTAAATTGAATGTCTTTTGTTAGCATTGGTATTGATTTGATTTTGGTTTGGGCTTTTGTTAGCATTATTTGAGTTACTAATATTAATGGCTATAAAACTTATTAGAACATTCAAAAGTTCTAAATCCAGCCTTAGAAATAATACCTTAAAAGATAAAATTATGAAAAAAATTTAAGAAATATTTATAAATTATATCACAATAAATATATTTATATATTAAATATATCTAAAATTTCTATATATGTATTGTCGGGTTGGTTTGATTTCGGTTTGAAATTCTTTAGTTAAAACTAAACCAAACCAATTATGGTCAGGTTTTTTTTCAACACCAAACCAAATCAAACCGAACCATAGTCGGGTTTTTTTCTCGGTTTTACTCGGATTATCGGGTTGGTGCGATTTGTCGGTTTCCTTTCTACATCCCTAGTCACAGGCTCGCCACGACCGTTCCTCGTTTTTTGGCGTTTTAGGGGGAAAAAATAGAATTCCGCCTGATTCCCTAAATTTTTGTGTGCTATAACCCACGCCTTCCGCAAAGGCCCGGGCCCCCAGATCTATATCACCTAATAAAAATTTTGGGCCATCAAAAACGACCTAAGGAAAAATAGTCACAACCTCGCTATGACCGTTCCTCTTTTTTGGCGTTTTAGGGCCATAAAACTTGAATTACGCCTGATTCCCTAGTTTTCGTTCGCTATAGCCCACGCCTTCCGCATGGGCCCAGGCCCCCGAACCCGGACCTCCTAAAATTTTCCCAGGCTATCAAAATCAACCTAAGGAACAATAGTCACAGCCCCACCACGACTGTTCCTCGTTTTTTGGCGTTTTAGGTCCATAAGTTTGAAATTCCTCCCGATTCCAAGATTTTCATGTGTTATGGCCCCGGCTTTCCACATGGGCCCGGGCCCTTAGACCGGACTGCCTAAAATTTTTCTAGGCCATAAAAACGACCAAAGGAACAATAGACACAGCTTCGCCATGACCGTTCATTATTTTTTGGCGTTTTAGGGCCATAAAATGGAAATTTTGCCCAATTTCCAGATTTTCATATGTTATAGCTCATACCTTCCGCATGGGCCCCGGCATCCAGAGATGGACCTCCTAAAAACTTTTGAGCCATCAAAAAAGACCTGAGAAACAATAGTCACCGCCTCGCCGCGACCGATCCTCATTTTTGGCGTTTTAAGTCCATAAAACTAAAATTTTGCCTGATTCCCAAATTTTCGTGTGTTATAACCCACGCCTTCCTCATGGGCCGAAGCCTCTAGATCCGGACTACCTAAAACTTTTTCGGTCAATATAAAACGACCAATGGAATAATAGTCACAACCTCGCCATGACCGTTCATTTTGTTTGGCGTTTTAGGGCCATAAAATTGGAATACCGCCCCATTCCCAAATTTTCGTGTGCATAGCCCACACCTTCAGCATGGGCCCAAGCACCCAGACCCGGACCGCCTGAAAACTTTTCGAGCAATCAAAAGCGACCTGAGGAACAATAGTCACCACCTCGCCATGATCATTCATCATTTTTGGCGTTTTAGGGCCAAAAAACTAGAATTCTGCCACATTGCCTGAATATTTGTGTGCTATAGCCCACGCCTTCCGCATGGGCCCGGGCTCCCGGATCCAGATCACCTAAAAATAATTCGTGCAATCAAAAAGACCTAAGGAACAATAGTCGCCGCCTCGCCACGATTGTTCCTCATTTTTTGGCGTTTTAGGGCCATACAACTGGAATTCCGCTCGATTGCCAGATTTTCGTGTGTTATTGTCCATGCCTTCCCCATGGGCCCAAACCCCCGGACTCGGACCTCCTCAATTTTTTTCTGGCCATCAAAAAAGACCTAAGGAACAATAGTCACCACCCGCCATGACCATTCCTCACTTTTTGGCATTTTAGGGCCATAAAACTGGAATTTCGTCTGATTCCCAGATTTTCGTGTGTTATAGCCTACACATTCTGCATGGGCCCGTGCCCCGGACCTAGATCGCCTAAAAAATTTTCGCCCAATCAAAAACGACCTAAGGAACAATAGTCACCGCCCCGCCATGATCATTCCTTATTTTTTGGCGTTTTAGGGTCATAAAACTGGAATTCCACCCGATTCCAAGAGTTTCGTGTGATATAGCCCACGCCCTCCGCATGGGTCCAGGCCTCCGGGCCCGGACCACCTAAAATTTTTCCGGGCCATCAAAAACGACCTAAGTAACAATAGTCACCGCCCCGCTATGACCATTCCTCGTATTTTGGCGTTTTAGGGCCATAAAACTGAAATTCCGCCAAATTCTCACATATTCCTCTGCTATAGCCCATGCCTTCTGCATGGGCCCGGTCCAGGACCGCATAAAATTTTTTCGAGCCATCAAAAACGACCTAAAGAATAATAGCTATCGTACCGCCATGACCGCTCCTCGTTTTGTTTGGTCTTTAAGGGGCATAAAACTGGAATTCCGCTTGATTCCCAGATTTTCGTGCGCTATAGCTCACATCTTCCGCATGGGCCCGGGCACCCACACAAAGACCGCCTAATTTTTTTCCGATCAAAAACGATCCGAGGAACAATAGGCACCGCTCCGCCACGACTGTTCTTCATTTTTTGGCGTTTTAGGGCCCCCGGATCCGGACCGCCTGAAAATTTCCCGGGCCATCAAAAACTACCTAAGGAACAATAGTCATCGCCACAACCGTTTCTCATTTTTTGTCGTTTTAGGGCCATAAAACTGGAATTCTGCTCGATTCCCGGATTTTCTTGTGCTATTGCCCACGCCTTTCGCATGAGCCCGAGCCTCCGGATCCGGACCGCATAAAATTTTTCTGGACCATCAAAAATGACCTAAGGAACAATAGCCACCGCCTCGCCATGACTGTTCCTCGTTTTTTGGCGTTTTAGGGCTATAAAACTAGAACTCCGCCCGATTCCCAGATTTTCGTGTGTTATATTTTTTACGATTATTCTCATTAAAAAAAATATAAGAATGTGCTTTTTTGGGATGGACTAATAAGGAATCTAAGACGAACAAATTAAAATGGAAGGAGGACATCTTATAATATGATTACGCCTACGTCTAGTAATAATAATAAAGTATTCACCATCCCCTACGAATATCAATTGGCAGATGTGTTCTCATAAAACCAGTAGTTTGAAGGAATGAACATGCGAAGAGAAATTAGTTCAATGATTATCTTGTTCCAATGCAACATCTGAAATAAACTAGAGTCACAAGTTCGCCTTCAAGACATCATCAAGTGTCTTAGAACGTTAAGATAATGAGAACTCAATCATTTGAAAAGAATTTTAAGGCCAAAAGAATTGTGTACTCTAACTCTCTTCGGATCCCTATGAAAGTTACACAATATCATGTACAAAATCAACAATCTACTATCCTACAACTAGTAACTTCTCCTAAGGTTACACTCTTCGAAAAGAATGTCTTCTAACAAGTAAACTAGTACTATATGCATTTCATTTTTACAATCATTTCTACATTGAAACAAACATACAAGCTTACAAGATGGACGGCTTCAATAAGTTCTGTGCATATGCTGCAAATTTTCATGTATCCTAAACTTGGGTTTTCTCAGGTTGCCGAGAAACTTCCTTATCAGCAAAGTGAAGGAGCCTTCGAAGCCTTAATACCATGTCACAATGAAAAGGCAAAGCAGATCTTCTCTCCAAGTATGCTGGACTTACAGTCATCCATGATAAAGCATGGAGCTCTGCAGCTATGTTCTCGAGAATCAAGTGAGTCTCTATTTCAACGTCTCTTGTTTCTGAGCTGGTACCCCTTCCCCCAACCTTGCCGACACCCTTAAAGAATTTTTCCTGGATGATGTTGCTGCCACCATAGTAATCAACGAGGCTGACAGAAAGAACTGAGGGCCATTCCTCTTTAGAGATGCTCCTTGCATCTCTCCTCATTGTAGGTACTGCTTTTGAAACCACAAAACCAGTTGAAAGAGGGATAGCACAGCCCTTGCTGTGGAGAAGATGGGCGAGTGGTGGTGATTCAGCAGTTAGGCAAGTGTGAAGCTGAAGACCAACAGGAGGTAGGAATCGCATATTCGGTGACGGGATTAGAATATAGGAGTTGGATGTAGAACCAAGGGACTTCACTGGAGTATAACCTTCAAGATAACCTGGCTGACTCAGAACGCCACTACTTTGACTTGTCCCTGCAAATTTTACATATTCATATACGATCATACACAAGTATGAAACAGNAAAATACCAACACAGATGCCAATGCTTACCCCTATCCCGCTTTACTCCCTTGGTAACTCATATCCTAACCACAATTCCTTGACATTAGGCTATTCCTCCCTTGAGTTTAGCAAAGAAAAATTTCAATACCTCCAACTAGAGAAGCGATTCCCTTGGAGTTATCTTAAAAGAACATCATACTTACAAGTGGCCTAGTGCATTTTATCTCTGATTGGTTAAGTATTTAGAAATAACATCTCCTTTACAGTCCATAGTATAAGAGATTCCAGAAGAAAGGCAAGGAGCGGTAACTCAATCAGAGAAAAAAGGGAATCAAAACCAAAAGAAAACGGGAAAAGACGACACCTACCATGACTCACTATATCCGCTTGGAACATAAGCTGTAAGGAATGATCAATTGAAACAGAGACAAAACTAATGCTTTGCACCCATTGAAGTAAGCCCCTCGAGTTGTCCACCATACCCTGTCCACCAATTAACTGCTTCCTTGTGGATGGTTGCCCCATGCCACCTTTCATGAAAGAGGAAACCTTTGAGTGAGGACTGTACAATGGACTAGGGGAGGAAGGAAGTGCTCTTTCCTGAATCAGACCTATTTCCTGTTGCTGCAAGGATGTCCCATTACTACTTGCCGACATTCCATCAGGCACGGAGCGTCTTAGCTGCAGAGACCATTTCTTCACCTCAGATCCCCCAATTGCATACAAGGCTTTCTGCCATTCTGCGTCCAGAAAATTGCATTAATAAGATTAGCAACTTCAGCAACATTACAGATGAATGATCAACCAAGTAGACACTTTATTCTAGTCCCTCAAAAGCCAACAAGTCAATGTCATCAAAATTCAAAACCAGTAAGGAAAGCAACAATCATAGCAATAAGCAGAAGATATTGATAGGATATGTTTACCCTGGCATTCGAGCTCAAAGAAGCTTCCAATACGTGCAATAACAAAATCCCTAGGCTTGGCATTGGCAGCCTCAGGAGGACATGCCTGAAGTATCTGGCATCCTTGCTGCAGAATTTGCACAAACAAGGATTGCAGACCTTTCGTATCCTGCCTACTACTAATTCCTCCAAATGGATATATATAATTATCAAGCAATTCTCCCCTGGAATCTGTCCATATACAAACCAGCCAGCGCCAATCCTCAGTCCATCCATAACAACAATGCAGGCTTGGAAGTGACTTTTGATGTGCAGAACCAAAGCCATCTGGTTCAGATGTTTCAGACTGTGTGTTTGGTCCAGTGTCTCCGCCACCTGAAGAAGCTGAACTCTGCATAAAATTTCCACTTGTACCATCATCTAACAAAAGCTTTGAAGATTCAGCCATTAGATTACCCGACATAGGAAATGAAAGTCCACGATCCAATGAACCTGGTTCAGCAAGAATGTAAAGGGGCTCAAACAAATAACGAACTTCATCTTGAAAAGAAAAATCCCCAATTCTGTTTGGATCACATCCCAGACTTCCCCCTCTTGATATTTGCCAGTTGTCCCAACTACCAGACCTTAGGCTAGCATCAAGTTCAGCCTCTCTTTGAAGGGAAGTTCCTATGCTTCGAGGACCAACACAGTCCTTCCACATACCTGGAACTGGGGAAGTCATTTGCATCAAGACCGGATGAGATCTACCAGACATGGATGATGACTGAACCATGTCACTGGAGGACCCTCGAGATATTCTGCGGGCTTTGTTATAAACTGTGAAAGCAATTTCCTTTAGGACGAGAAGCTCACTCAGAGCAGGACTTGTAACCCTAAAAATTGCATCAACAGTTACAATCTGCAATACCAACTTAGGAATACAAAATCCTGAAAGAGTTAAAACATTTGAGAGTGACTCATCCACTGCTGCTGAGTAACTTAAGGCCTTCCCGACTTGATTCTGCAGTGTAGATCGCCTCTCTTTGTCTGAAGAAAGAACCACTGATCCAACAGCAATAGAAGATTCAACCACCGTCTGTAGGACCGCAAGAGGCTCAGGGAAAGGGCAAACCACGTATATCACCTGATTTGACATTCAAATATACACTCCGGTATCAGTTTCTGTGAAATATTTTATCCATATAATACTGCTTAAATCAGATACTCCAATGTTTCATAATTATGGAAATGGTAGAACAGCAAATAACACAAGAACAACTATCCTCAATCCCAAACTAGTTAGGTATGCTATATAAATTCTCAATATCTAGTTCTTCCCATTTGGACTCAATAGAACAGCATGTCAAATTCTCATTCAAGGCTACATCCCACTGATTCCTCAAAAGTATCGATAGGGTATTTCAACTTTTCCGAAGAGAAGCATTTCGGACAGATGGAAGTCAAAGACCAAAATGATGTAACAAGTGGGTATCCTAAACTAATAGAAAAGAAAAAATCAGTAATTATTGACTCAGAAATGTAACCAGGAGTATAAGAGCCATTTAGCCTTAACCAAAGTTGCTTCATCTCAATACTAATTAAGCTTCTCAAACGTTTCAGCTGGTCACAATATATCCTTCTTTATAATAAAAAACTTTTTAGCTATTGGTACGTCTAGTGAATCTCCTAGGCTACTAGTACTGTTTCTTATCCCTGGTTCTTTATTATTACATGTTGTATCATTCGCTTCCGTTGCCCTATTACATTGTTGTTGCTATTGTTTGTTGGTTTATTTCCACTGTTCCTTGAGCCGATAGTCTATCAGAAATAACCTCTCCATCTTGTGAAGGTAGGGGTAAGGTCTGGGTACACATTACCCTCCCAAGACCCCACATGTGGGAATTACAATCACTTCGTATGCTGCTCTACTTTAGAGATTTATCACTTTTGAAGCTGACTAGTCCCCTTTAACAGATGTATTTTAATAGAAAATTTTGACCCCTACGGAGGACGAAACATTTATAAATGCCCCCTACTATATTCGCCCATCCAATTAATGAGCATTTCACTAGCCTCAGGTAAGTGAGAACTACTCTACCAGTGGTAAATAGAAAATAGACATTGGGGTAACAATATTATAACAGACCAAGTCACTGTGCAAGTCATTCTTTTACTATCAACTTGACAGCTCCTCAACCCCAAGCCATAGCATCATAAACATTGTTGTTACGACCAATCATACATGAGCTAAGGCACCACCCCAAGCCATAGCATCATAAACATTGTTGTTACGACCAATCATATTGAAACAAATGGGTATGTAGTGGAGGCACCAGAGACAGTAAGAAAAGTTCTAGTTGACAAGTACTTTCCAATTTGTCCTTTCGGATCCTCTTATCCAGAAGACATGGAATCACTCTTTTCTCTCAATCTATTCTTTCCGTTTTGCTTTGCTGGCGAAGCTTAAGTGTATAAAAAGGTTCCCATATCAAGAGAAAGGGGTGGCACTGTCCTAACATCTAAACTCTATTAACAGGGTACATTATTTCCACCAATCCACAATGGACTCGGGGAATTTCAGTTTAATGATGCATCTTCGACTTTATAGTGCAATAGAGAAACGAGAGGGAAAAAGAGAGAAAGAGAAAACAACAGCAAGATAGAGAAGAGAAAGTAGACGAGGAATAAAGAAGAACAAACAAAGAGAGTCACAACTTACTGTACACGGACCAGTACTTCCTTCTTTTGGATTCATAGTCATGCATGAACTAAGCTTTAAATTCCTGAGAACTTTTGAGAGAGACTTCAAATAGCTTTCTAAATCCCAGCCATTGGAGAGGGATAGGAAATAATCACTGATTGATCCCAGCATAGATGTGCTACTGCTGTCTATCTTCATTGACTGAGGGCAATCAATCAGAACAAAACCAGAAGATACATTCTTCCCGGAGTCTATCTCCATCTCATTTCCCATACATTGAGGTGAATGAGTTCCCAGTTTGCATGTCTCATAAACTGAAAGAGAGAAGTATAGTCAATATACAAGTCGAGGAAAAATTTCATTCCTCAAACATAGAGGTAGCCATATTTACATTACAAATATCCAAGTCAAGGACAATTTTGAAGCTTGATTTATATCGAGAGGAACGCAATAATATGATCTCCCTTTTTCAATTACTTTAATATACTACTTTCGTCTCATCTTCTTGTGCAATTAAAAAAAAGATCTTAAATTAGTCACTTATCCACATCTTCAAAATGGAAGAGACATGCAGATTGAGTAATAAAATGTAGAATATTAAATATGAACCAGCCACCTTGTAAAATCAACTCGAAAATACACTTTTCAGATACCTGAATGTTATAGCATGTTTGGCCAAGCTAGAAAATCATCTTATTTTGAGAAGTGCTTTTTCAAAAAGTGCTTTTGGAAAGAAACAGTTTGTGTTTGGCTAATCACTCCAAAAAGCACTTTTGAGCAATAATTTGTGTTTGGCCAAGCTTTTCAAAAAGTGCTTTTAAGTATCAAATTACAAATAAGGACATGTATAGATTTACTTAATAATTAATATTATAAGTAAATAAATAATCTCAAAAATTTATTATTAAAGACAATAATTAAATCTTGTCATTTTATTTAAGTAAAATATGAGAATAAAATTAAAAGTACTTTAATTCTTATAATATGATTTAAATATATTAAAAATCATTCAACAAATATAAAAGTATTCACCCCTAAAGTCACTATATATTAGAAAGTTATCCTAAAAATAAGAAGAAATACTTATACATTAATACCAAAGTATTAGGTTTAAAATAAGTAAGGTTATTTTGGTATATACTATATTTTGTTAAGGGTATTTTTGGTAAGAAAAAAAGTCAAAACTGCTTTTGCTTTTGCTTTGGGAAGAAGCTACTTTTTTCTACTTCTCAGAAACTACTTCGGCTTCTTCCCAAAAGCACTTTTCCCCTCAAAAAAAAATTGGCCAAACACCTTAAGTTGGGGAAAAAAAGTACTTTTGGGTAAAAAAACACTTTTGGAGAAACTTGGCCAAACAGGCTATTAACCTTCTTATAACCATAGCAGCCAGTATATTATTTTCTATTCAGATCAACATCAATTTAAGTATACTAACCAGTTCCAAGCTGTTGGAAAAAATCAGTTGCAGCTGTTGTTAGAGCATTGATGTCTGGGCAGACAACGTAATATGACATCTGAAAAATGTTGGAAAAAATGGTTAAGGAAAATAATAGTTAAGGAGATGCAAAAGAGCTTCTTAAAGATAAACTTGCTACTTGTGTTATCTATCTTAAACTTACATGCTTGGGCATTGCATAGGGCTCAAAAGGTGCCTTTTCCCAGAGCTGAAGAGAACTAGGTGATGTCTTAAGCCAATCATCTTGGTATCTGCAACGTAAAATGACTTTAGTTCCTACCTTATAAAAGCGAACTTAAGACCAGAAACAGAAAAGGAACTCAAAATAATTTGGTGGTCATGAATACAATGTAACAATGTCCATGTGAGTCCTCTCCATTAACAGGTGAATACAAGAACCAAATGCAGCTCCAGCATGCTTTCAGTTAATTCAGTTATCAGCAGGTTGAAGCCTTATAGGTAATCCATATGAAAAGAAGTCCTAGAACTTAGTAAGTGGTGACAGATTGCAACTAAGTAAAAGGTAATCCATATGAAAAGAAGTCCTAGAACTAGCAATTGGTGACAAATTGCAACTTAGTAATTCAACTAACACCATCACATTTTAAGGCTTCAGGAGGTCTCTTAAGGGACTTCACCGCCTTGTTCAGGGAGCATTATCACCTAAGGGTCATCCATCTTTTATTTGCAGACGACACTTTTTGGTTTTATGTGATACAGATGCTTCTCCGCTCTCATATTTGAGGCAAATTCTTATTTGGTTCCAGGTTGTCTCAGGTCTCAAGATCAACCTTAGTAAATGTGAGATCACACCAGTGGGGAAGGTGAACAATGTTGAAGAGCTAGTGCAAGTTTTGAAATGTAAAGGTGCATTACTTATTACATACTTGGATCTACCGTTGGGCGCTTCAAACAAGGATCTTGCTGTGTGGAACCCGGTGATTGAGAAAGTCGAGAAGTGGCTAGCAGAATGGCAGAAGAGGTACTTGTCAAAAGGAGGGAAGGAAGTGTTGACTAAGAGCACTTTGTCTAACATGCCTACATACTTTATGTCATTATTATAGGCACAGGCTACCGTGACAGAAAATCCGGAAAGACTTCAGCAGAATTTCTTATGGGATGCTCCAGACGGCACAAGCAAGTTTCATTTAGCGAATTGGAAAGTCGTCACATCTACGAAGATATTCGGGAGGACTTGAGTGAAAGATCTTAGGTGATCAACAAAGTCCGTCTAGGAAAATAGATTTGGAGGTTTGATACGGAGGAGAATATTGTTTTAGTCTCTACTTGATTCCCACAAAGATAACATCTGGAGCATAGTTGGAATTTTCTCTTCACAAAATTGTCTTGTGTCAAAACTGGCTCTGTCGCCAAGAGCCAAGTAAAGTAGGCAACTTTGTATGGTACTTTAACTTTCTATATCATCTTGCATGGTCAATATCCAACCCGATTGTTTGATATATTACATTCTTCATAAGCTGACTCATAGAGAACATTCCTTTGTTATCATTTTGCCATATCATACAGTCCTCCACCCAGTGTTGGAGGAAGCGAGGGCTTCAACACTTTAAGAGAGAAGCGAACCGAAGGGTAGTTCGCTTCAAATGACTGAGGCAAAGCAGTTTTAATGAAATGAGATCTTCATCCCCTGAAGCGCGAACCGTGTGCAGCAACTGAAGCGATGAGGCGTGTGTTTTTTATTTTTCTTTTTTATTGTTAAAAAGAAAAAGAAGTACCAGACCTGCGTGTACATGTTTCTCACCCTTGGTGTGACTTTCTTGTGCAAGTTGCGACTAGGTTTGGGACTTTATATTGCTCTACTTCCTCAAGCTCCAGGTATGGCTTTCTTTTTTCTCCTTTTTTTCTTCTCCTTCTCTTCTTTGTTTCTCTGTTGCTACGTTTTTTTCCTTTTCTGTTTCTTTTATTCTTTCACTTCTTCAGCTTTTATTTTATTCATCTGTTTGACTTTTTGTTTCACCATGTTAATTTAATTGAATTCTTTAAATTATTCTATTTCTTTTTAAAGTTATATTAATTGTATTAATTTATTTATTTGTCTTCTTCTCTCAGTTTTTTCCTCATTTTTTTCACTTTGTTAATTTAATTGAATGTTCAAATTGTTCTTTTTTTTTTGTTTTCTAATTTGATTAAATTTTATTTATTTATTTTTCTTCTTCTATCTGTGTTTTTTCATGTGCTCTAATGTTTACTTTGAACTTTTTTTAAAAACTGCACTTCACTTCAATGAAGTGAGCGCTTCGCTTCTCGTTTCGCGCTTTAAGTGAAACGAGCCCTTGTCGCTTTTTGTCGCTTCACGCTCTAACAATTACTGCCTCCACCACTAAAATCCCTCTGAAATTTGCTAGGACACTATAGAACTCTGTTAATCTGTCCACCTCACAATCATTCAACAACTTTCTGAAGCTCAGATTCCACGCTTGATCTGACCATACCTCACCCACAGTAGCTCTTTGTTGCTGACACAGGTTGAAGATGTAAGGATACAACTGCCTTAGGATGCTTGAACTAACCAATTGTCTTTCCAAATGATATTTTCTTGTCGTTACCACTATTGAAGTGTGTAACCATCTCATCTAAAAGCTTAAGTTGTTAGAGAGAACACACTTTTATTTACTTAATTATGTCTTCAACACGCCCCCTCACGTGCAAACGTGATTTTTTTTATGAGCCAAGCACGTGGAATTTTTTTTTTATATTGGGTGGCGATGAGACTCGAACCCAGGATCTCAGCCTGTTGTGATACCATGTTGCAGTGTGTGACCATCTCATCTAAAAGCTTAAGCTGTTAGAGAGAACACACTTTTATTTATTTAATTATGTCTTCAACAACCAACTTTGAGACTGGATTTCCTTTTGATAACTGGCCATAAATTACTTATGGATCTCTCCACTCAAAACGCATAAGGTGTATTTCCTGGTTTTGTTGTCCGATTGCATCTTTAGTTTTAAACTTCTAATAACATCCTTCCACAAGGATTTTTTCTTCAGATGCAAACATTTCAACAAGCAGCTTTGGTTATGAATCTTTAGGTTCCTAATTCCCAAACCCCCCCTCTTTTTTGCTAACAGTTAAGGACTTCCAGTTGACCAAGTGAATTTTTTACTTCTCGCTATTGCCTTGCCAAAAAGCAAAACTTCTCCTAAGAGCATCCAACCTTTTAGTTACACTTGCTGATGCAGGGAAAAGAGACATCATGTATGAAGGTATTGTATCTAGTACCCAGTTAATCAGAATTGATCTCCCTCAGACAAATATTGACTTTTCCAGTTTGTCAACCATCTTCACATCTTTCCAGTACTCCATTCCATATTACTTTGGATCTACTCTTAGCACCCAGTGGCACCCCCAAGTATGCTATAGGTAGATTTCCAATACCCCCCCTCCCCCCCAAAAAAAATGTCTGCCAAAGCTTGTATCTCCACTGTTTCATTCCCTGGGTAAATATGACACTTACCCCAGTTAATATGTAATTCAGAGGTTGCTTCAACTAGGATAAAAATCACCCTCAGCATTCTATATTGATCTTCCTCAGCATCACGAAAAATTAGAGTATCATCAGCATATTGAAGGTGAGATATATCCGGGCTATTGTCTACCCTGCAGTTCACTTAAATCCGTTGATCCAATCATTCACCTTGGTAGTTTTTAACATGTTATTATATCCCTCCATTGCTAGGATGACCAGAAAAGGAGACACAAGATCACCCTGCCTTAAGCCTCTTTGAGATGAGAAAAACCTGAAGGAGACCCATTAATCAGGACCGAGAACTTCACGGTACTAATGCAGAAATTGATCCATCTATGACCAAACCTCATCTTTTGTAGAATCCCTGGCAGAAAGCTACAATTTACATGATCATAAGCCTTTTCTATATCCAACTTATGGAATTGTGCAGGGGTAACTCACTTGTAGTGGAGAAGTATGAATTATGGAAGGGGGTGGAGAACTAGTAACATCACAACCTGTGTGGATGTGGTCTTTGGAGGGGCATGATGAAGGGGTAGGAAGATTTAGGGAAGGGGATGGCAGCAGGATAAGTTTTTTGGGGCGTAGGTGGTATAGAGAGAGTAACCTAAGATTTTCTTTTCCCAATCTATATAGACTATCATGCCAAAGAGAGTTGACTGTCCAACAAATCTGTGGAACACATGGGGGAGTTCGCTGGGGCTTAAGGTTTAGGAGGAACATCCAAAACTGGGGGGCGAATTTCAAAACCTGGTTGATCTATTGTACGGGCAAAATGTTCCAAATGACACTGCTGGCTTGTGGAGATGGAGAGAGAGAGAAGGGACGTTTGTTCATTGTTAGATCATATTACCAGAGTTTGCTAGTGAGAGAGGAATCAGCCTTTCCATTTGGATTCCCGGGGCGCCCAAGGTGTGCTCCTTCACGTGGCTGGCAGCGAGGGAAGTGATACTGACAGCAGTGAATCTGAGGAAGCAAAGGATCACTTATCTTAGTTGGTGTTTTATGTGCAGATGCTCGGGAGAGGATGTAGACCATCTCTTGCTACACTGCCAAGTGGCTACGCGGTTGTGGTCAGTGATCTTAAGTTGGTTTGGAATTTAATGGGTGATGAGGTGTGGCATAGTTGGGCCTTCCGAGGAAGGAAAAGAAGACCGAGAGCATGGGACGTTGCACCATTAGCCATTATGTGGGTTTCATGGAAAGAGGGAAACATGAGAGTTTTTGAAGGAGTTGTTAGTGATTTCGTTAAATTACAGAGTAGTCTCTTGTTTCTAGTTTTGTTTTGGGGTATCCATGAGGCTCTTTCATGTAGCTGATTGGGTTTCTTTTGTAGAGAACCATCTTCTGGTGTACCCATGAGGTTCCTTCATGTAAAGATGATGGGTTTCTTCTGTAGAGAACCATATTTTGGTGTACCCATGAGGTTCCTTTAAGTATAGATGATTTGGGTTTCTTTATGAATACAGGAATGTCTTTCTTATAGAAAGCAGGGGTAAATGGACCAGCACATGAGAAATAAAGCAATTTGGTATATAACGAAATTTGGAGAAAAGGCAACGTGCAATGTTCACTAATTCAAAGAGGAATGGACAAGGATCAACCACCTTCAGTATAAAATACATACCCAACAAGTATAGCAGGATACGGTACTGCAGACAATGTTGGCCTAAGCCTTGAGCCTGGTAGCTGCTCTGACTCTGATAGGCAAGTGTCTTGGCTTAATCTGCGTTCACTTGCCTCATCCACCCTAATTCCATCTGAAACAAAAAAGAATTTTATCAAAACCCATGGCAGGATAATTCACAGTATGACCATGATAATTCACACCTTTCAAACTAGATCCACCAGCGGAGGACTGAGATGGACTTATAGGTTCTCCAACAGAAAACGATATGGTACTTGAAGAATCTCGACATTCACTTGCACTTGCAGTGGACTCTGCAGAAAAACCATCACCAGATATTCCCCCATCATTTGATTGACTGCGACCTTTGCACCAATCAACAACAGATAAAGGACCTTCCATAGTACCAAAAGCAGATTTCATAGCTGTTTTTATATCATTCTGCAGCAGAGTGAGGGCAAATGATGCCTGAACCTGAATGAAGATGTTCAAATATTAAGTTGCGAAAGGTGAGAAACCCAAAGTTATACAATGTGCGAAATTTAGCAACAAGTAATTATGCATCTTCTCACCATTCAAACTAAAAATTTGTTTCAGGTGCTTACCCATGGAATCAATAATGAGAGTAGTCGCATGCTAACCAATGTGAAGAAGAAAATGAACGGAAAAAAAATCACAACTGAGAAAGAACTTTCCTCCGACTCAGATGCTAACCATGTGACACCTAAATTGATAAAAAGGAAAACTATACACTGGGGAGATAAAACTAATAAATAAAGTAACAAATTCTACATCATCTCATCGATAACGATAAAGATCAAGAGAAAAACTCTGAGCTGAAAAAACACGGATAGAATGCAATTTAACATCTCCATGCAGCTACACTCATGGATGTTTATAAAAATCTTGTTTAAATATTCTTTTCCTCAAAACTATCAGATAGCACTTCCCAATCTGTCCACAGTATCATAATCATGAGTAATAGGTCATCTGTGGTATTATTGCATTCTTATGAGACTACACCACCAGCATAAACAAGCCACTGTAGCCTAGGGTAGTAGACAAAGCAGGCTAAGAGTATGCCAGAGGTGCCTCTGCTGAAAGGGGAGAGGAGGGCTACATTCTATCAACTGTGAACTCATACAAAAAGTATTTACTTAAAAACAAAAAGCTTACATCAGCTGAAAGTGGATCAATAAGCTCCACGCCAGCAATATCCAGCGAATGACAGGAAGCCAATACTCCCCCACAACCTGCATGAACCATGGATGGTCCACATGAAAAGCCACGCCTCCACTGCTCCTGCAGTGTGAGCCAACCATAAGGACCATCATTATTATCAGCATCTAGTGCAACATCAACAAGAGATGTAGCTTGCTGCACAAGTAAAGCCACCCCGTCAAGGAGTTCCTGAAGCGGTTGCCGTAGCCCATAAGCTAGCATACTTTCCTCAATGAAAGAATTATGCTGAACAGAGTGGCAAGCTTCTAAAGCAGATGATGGTTGTTTCATGCCCTTAGAAACTCCAACAGAGCGCCACACACCAACTTGTGCATTAAGGGTCCCATCCAGTAATCCTCCATCAATATCACCTGCTATCCTAACTGGTATTATTTCTTTCTTTTTCATCTCGGATTTGCTTGACATATTGTCCACTGTAACCACTGCTTCACCTTGTGGCTGGTTTATAATGGTACTCCCTGACATCCTGCTCGCGCCAACAGGAAGGTAGCTGCTTGAAGACAATAACGTATGCCGAATCTTACACATAAATGCCTGGCACATAAGGCATTCAACTTCTGTTGCTAGCACAGTTTTCATTGATTGACCAAAGCTGTCTGCTTTTAGTAACGCTTCATTGGCTTTCTCGGTTTTATTGTGGATAGATTTAACAGAATTTGTTGAATTGAAACCATAAAATGGAGACTGTTCTACTTGAGCCTCACGTGTAGCGCAACTATGGTCAGAACCAGACAACTTGCCGTCATTTTTCTCTTTTCCACTTTCAATATGAGTGTAATATCTCTTTGATTGAATAATGGAGCTTGTATCACGCCTTCCAGAACCTGTTTTGAGGTTTACAGTGACACCAGACTTCTCCTCACATGCGTCAAAGTAAGGCGATAAAGGTGGGGTTGCAGAGTAGACATAGCTATCTGAGCTTGAATTTGAAGTATCCACTTCCCGGGACTTCGGGAGATAGGGATTCCTGAAAATCAAATGGGACTTCTCACCTGTAGGGGTTTCAACTGCTCCATACTCTGGAGCAAAAGTCATCAGAGCTTCAGCTTTAATTAAGTGATCGAATTCACCAGCAATAGCTGCTGAAGAATTGTTTACTTGATAAGCAACTGCAGTGCTTTTTATAACTTCTTGATGTTTGCTCAGTGAATCATCCAGACTTGCTGGCGGTGGTGGTTGATTAAAGCTATCAAATGATGGAAAACCTACTGGCAAAAGCATCTGATCTTTGACATCCATCATCGAAGGACAGGGGCTGCTACCAACATCTGCACTATCTGCTGCAGGATACATAAGAGCCTGAGACTCTGCAGTTCCTGGAGGCTTCAAGAATAAAAAAGAGAAATTAGCTCATTTACTGGTTAGGGAAGCAAAAGAAGAATATCTACTACAACAAGGTGACTCGCATTCATCTGGCAAGCAACAGGCATCTATTAGCTACCAATGATGTCCTGTTATGTCCAATTTATTCATAGTTCCACGTCATCCAGTAAAACAGCACATCCATCTCTTATGTGCATTGTGCTAACTTCGCAAACTCCAATTAATAACTAACACCCAAACAGCAGTGCATTCAAATATCTTGAAGCAATTAAACTTTACGGCAAATCTGTATACAAGTCGTAGAATTCCTATCTCCCATGGTGGCATGATTAATGTGTACACACTCTACTCCAAGAAAACAAAAACAAAAATGAATCATATTTAGGTTGTTGTGTTTCATGCGATGAAACTACTGGATCATCTGTTCCCTTGAGATGCTTTGGTTTGCTTAGTTTCATAGATTAGCAAAGCCTTCCATCTGATATAAGAGGGCTGATTGGTTTGACAAAAATCAGCTACTCAACTGCATTACACATTTATATTTTATAACTCTGAGATTTTCAGATTTAACTTGTAAGTTCCAGGTCAAGGAATAATCAGGGTCTTAACAAGACTCTAGCACATACAGTTGAGATGATGCAACCGCACTTTGTCATGGAAAATATAACTACCTCTCCAAACGGCAAAACGTCATTCTCAAAGAAGTCACCAAAATCTCCAAACTCAGATAGAAGTGCCTGAATATCCATGCCTACACCTCTATCATCATCATCCCAACCCCACTGAAGCCCAATCTGATCATTTCCTCCAGTTATTGCAGAATTATTAACTTCCATTGAGGCATAGTCACTTGTTGATGGATTTATCACTGCTCCTGCCTGACTAAATGACTCTGAAATCCCAGTTCGTGACCTCTTAAAGCCCTGCATAGAAACATGAAATGTCATTTCAGCCAATTCCTGTAAACACACGCACACCATAAGAATTGAGTGGAGAAAACAAAAGAGCACACGGCACATGCTATCAATATGGATAACTGGAACTTTCACATTTTAGTAACATTTATGCAAACATTTCAGAGAAATAAGGTAATCACTAGTCCAACAAAGGTGGGAGCAAATACTGTAACAGAGTTCCTCTTCAACACCCAAAAGAGGGGGAGAAGAATCTCTATGCCAAAGAAATTAATCATCATCGACCTCACAAAGAAAAGATCAATTATACCAATGTCATAATTATGCTGCAGAATCTATGCAATTCCATATTTCAGTTACACATGCTGTGCCAATTTAATACTTATATAAAAGGCGGATCCAGGATTTAAAATCTATGGACTCAACCTTTAAGATTCTTAGCATTGATGCCCTTGTATTTTTAAATGGGTTCAGACCTACCGTTTGTTGCAATTTTAGTGAACTTTTACACAAATTTATGTTCCACGTCAAAAGTACTGGATTTAGATGAACCCGGCACCGCAACTCAACATCCGCCCCCAACTTATACTACAAAGAGCAGCTATTATGCTGGGGCGGGGCCTCTAAATCTTTTCTAGCCTTTATTAGAGTCCAAATTCAGCTAGAATACTATGTGCATCCAGTGCAAAATACGTCTTATCCACCCTCCACTAACTAGCTTCAATCAGATACTATTATCTCTGAAAACTCTTCTCAGATCCTTCCTCTTGGTTCCAACATTCCAGATCCTTCCTCTTTGTTCCCTTTAGCAAAAGAGGTATAATGAAATGGACAAACGGTTGTGCGTCTCTCCCTCTTCTATAATCATAAATTATCATATTTATCAATACTAATTATGCCACTGTTACAGAGATAACATAAGCAACAAACATTTCTGAGAAATTCCATCCATACAAATCTTTTTCATTAGCATCATTGCCTGCTGATCAGAGCAAAAAGTTCGCAGCCACAATAACATTTTTAGGTTTAAGAATTTGACAGATATCTTTATCCATGACCAAACAATCAAGTGAAAGAAGTAGAAGCAGCCAAAACAGAAATTGCAGAAGCGCAATGAACCAAAAATATTTATCTTTAAAGCAGAATTCCTAAAAATGAACTCAAACTTTAAAACTCCAGATAAGTTGTTGATTATCTTCATTTTGAATGTCAAACTTAACTAATTCTCGTAGTGAACTCACAATTTCTATATTTCTTACAACTTTGACCTTTTTCTTTCTCTATTAGGAGCAGAACAATGAAACAATTGAGAAGCCGGTATGTGGACCTGAGACCTCAAGGTTTGATTATAGAAGATACAAAGAGAAGAAAAGACCAACAGTATCGGCGTCAGCATGCTTGTCAGTTTTGCTGCAACAAAGTCCTGAGATAGAATAAGCTCTCTATTTGTGCACTACAGCAGAGAATAAACACAGATGTGCAAGACTTCATGCTTCAACAATTCATAGCTTCCAAGTCATGTTATACTTTCTTTAGTAGATTCCTCCTTGGATGGACATGGAGTGAAGCACATAGAAGGTTGCAACTCAATTCTAAGAAGGTACTATGTACCTCTTTGAATTTGAAAAAAAAAAATGAGATAACAAGATAGTAATAAGAATTGTCTCCAGTTCACTAGTCATAGCAGGATAAAGAAGGTTAAGATCGAATCAGGACTGCATATTCAAATATAAGATAGTGCGTACAGTCCAGTGGATACAAATTAGAGAGAACTCAAAATTATGTACAGGAAGCATACCGTTTTAAGATTGTCATTTCGAGACTGATCCACAGAAGATAATCCAGACGGTCTACACATCAAAGAATCGGCATCTGCTTCAAGATCGCCAGCTCCTGAGGTCTTGTAATCACTATCACTAGAAGAGGTACTTACGCTGCTAACACTACTACTATTGCTATTACTACTACTGTTATACTGCCGATTTGAGCGCATGATGTTTGCATCAAGCCAAGATCCATCTGTCGAATTGACTTTGGCATCACTACTAAAATCAAAACTGCAAATATTGTGGATTAGATGTATGAGATAGAAGTTCAACCTAAAAAAAGTTATGGAATGAACTGCCAATATGAACAAGCTGAGAGTACCAATGCATAAAGGAGGATGTAAAGGACAATGAGGGCCCAATCCAGTTCTGCAGCCAGAATCTGCGAATAGAATGTTTGAATGTTAATTTGTTCTCTTTTTCAGTAGTGGAAAAAGAAACTTGAACGGTTTCTAATTGTGCATGTCATCCTTGCATAGAACCATCTTAATAATCTTCTCTAAGCCATTCTAATTTTATCAAATGTCCACGGAGGAACTCTTCATGATTCTCAAGTAAGTTTTTAAGGGGAAAAAAAATTCAGAATCATTTTAATCATTCTATTTTTTTTTTTTTAGAATCACAATTCTCAAGTAATAGAAAAAGCAAAGTCCCAAGGGAGGTTCTATGGAGATCTTTGGAGGCTAGAGGTGTTCCGGTAGCTTACATTAGGGCAATCAAGGACATGTATAATAAAGCTAAGACCCAAATTACATCGGTAGGAGGAGACTCAGAAAACTTTCCAGTAGTGATGGGGTTTTATCAGAAATCGCTCTTAGCCCGTTTTTATTTGCCTTGGTGATGGAATATGGATGTATTGACGCATCAGATTCAAGGGAAGGTGTCATGGTGCATGTTATTTGAAGATGACATAGTACTGATTGAAAAGACGTGCGGCAGCGTTAACACCAGACTGAAGGTTTGGAGACAACCCTTAGAGTCTAAAGGTTTCAGGTTAAGTAGCACTAAGACAGAGTACTTGGAGTACAAGTTCAGTGCTATGACTCGTGAATCTGACATAGAAATGAGGCGGAATTCACAAGTCGTCCCCAGGAGAGGGAGTTTCAAGTACCTTGGGGCTATAATCCAAGGTAATTGGGAGATTGACGAGGATGTCACACATCGGATTGGAGCGGGGTGAATGAAATGGAGACTCGCATCCGGTGCCTTGTGTGATAAGAATGTGCCACCAAGACTCAAAGGTAAGTTCTACATAGTGATGGTTAGACTGACTTGTTGCATGGGGCGGAGTATTGGTCAGTCAAGAACTCTCATGTCTAGAAGATGAAAGTTGCGGAAACGAGGACGCTAAGATGGATACAAGAATGAAGATATTCGGGACAGAGTAGGCGTGACCTCCATGGCGGACAAGATGCAGGAAACAAGGCTGACATGGTTCAGGCATGTCAAGAGGAAATGTACAGACGCCTCCGTGAGAAGGTGCGAGAAGTTGGCGATTGCAGGCCTAGAAAAGGTAGAGGTAGGCCGAAGAATTACTGGGAACAGGTGATCAGGCGGGATATAGCGAGTTTGCAGCTTACCGAGGACATAACCCTTAAAGGAGGGTGTAGAGGTCGAGGATTAGGGTAGAAGGCTAGTAGGTAGTTGCGCGTTTTGCTTTTCCTGTCAGTAGTATCAGTAGTATTTTCGTATTTCCTTATTCTTAGTTCTCTAGTACTACATGTTGTTTCTTCTGCTTCAATTTTCTTATTATCTTCTTGTTGTTACTGTTTATTTTACATCATTATTGTGTTTATGCTTTCTTGAGCCGAAGGTCTATCAGAAACAGCCTCTCTACCTGCACAAAGTATGCATATGGTCTGCGTACACACTACCCTCCCAGGCACCACTTGTGGGATTACACTGGGTTTGTCGTCGTTGTTTAATTCTCAAGTAAATTTGAACTGAAAGGCACCCTAGTCACACACAAACAGCACTAATATGCACTTTTGAGAAAATACTCGCACGCATGGATGTTAGGCAAGAATATATTGATTTGTCAGGTTGATTCTGGGTAAGGGTCAAGGTTAAAGCAACTAAGCAAGAAACACTAAAAATTAGCCAATAAGTATTCAATCCCAGCTTTATTAATTAGATCAAAGTATGAGATGTCAGTATAGAAACTTTGCTTACAGTGGAAACCACAGATATAGACTTCCCACAGAGAACTTATTCTCCATCAGCCACTCACATCGACTCTGATAAAATTTTAAGAGATGGAATCTATTATAGCAAAACCTCAAAAGATGGAAGACCATAATATTTCTACAACCTAGTAGTGGATGGATGGTTATCTGACCATTACTGTGGCGAAAAGGCCAGATATTTAAAAGAGTAGTTTTCTGTCATTAATGTGGAAGGTCACAGATTTGTCTTCCAGCACTCCAGTGAAAACCTTCAACAAGACTGAAAGGACACTAGTTATATGCTGACTGACACTAGTTTAATGTATCTCCTTTTTTATCAGCAACTACTTTAATGTAATCTTCTTCCACATCAGCTAGATGCAAACTTATGCTCCTTCCCATGTGCTCTTGTCTCTTGCTCTCTCTCTCTCTCTCTCATCAATGAAACTTCTGTTCCTACTCCAAAAAGGAATGAAGAGAAAAAACATTGTCAGAATTTAACAAATATACCTTTTTAGAGAAGATCTAGCACATGCTGTTTGCACCACTGGAACAAGAATAGCCTCAGGAGGGTAAATAAGCATTCTTGAACTTTCTTTTATATTGTTGTTTCCTGGCGTAGTGCAGCCAAGGCTAACTTCAACATAGCAATTCTGTCCCTTGAGCTGATAACCAGATCGAGAAACATTGCATGGTAGCCCAACAATACCGTTTGAAGCACTAAACTTGCAGGAACTGTTTGAGCAAGTCAAATAAGAAGAACCACAGTAAGGCAACCACATTAAGATGAGCTCTATCACTTTGAAAGAATGATGTTCACAAACACGAAAAGGAGGGAGTGAGAAGGACAAATTTTAAAACAACCAAAAAAAGGGGGAAAAAAGAGGCAAATTTGACCTAAGATACACTTGCTTCACAAGATCAGCAGGGCAACATCCAGTGAGCCTCCCACGCATTCCATGAGGTGAGACAATAACTGGAAAAGAGGAAAAAAAGGGATAAATGAAAATACGAACATACCTAACCATTCAGGAGCATAACGATGGTGCCAAAAGGTTTTTTATTGGTTGAAAACCAAGTTCAACAAAAACAACAACAAACCAATAAGTTACTACAAGTGGGGTCTGGGGAGAGTAGTGTGTACGCAGACCTTACCCCTACCTTGGGAGGGTAGAGAGGTTGTTTCCGGTAGACCCTCGGCTAAAGACGAGATGAATCAGTGGCAATAAGTGGTAACAACAACAAGGTATTAAGAAACAACAACAACAAACCCAGTGTATACACTCCGCAGACCTTACCCCTACCTTTAAGAAGGCAGAGATGTTATTTCTGGTAAACCCTCCAAGGTATTAAGAAAACCGAAGCGAAAAAAGAAATCAAATAGTAGGTAGAACCAGCAACCCAAGAAAGAAGAGATACTAGAGCAAGAAAAAGGGAAACGCTCGACTGCCTACTAATTGTCCACCCTAATTCTGGACTTCCAAAACCAAGTTCAAAATTTTTATATATGAATAAAAGCTCATATTTTTTATTGTTAAGTTTGTTTAAACTATAAGTAGACTGATTAAAATGTGGATTTTCTTTAACCCATCTTTCTCACATGCTAATAAGAAAGATGTTGCTAACCCGTGTTGCTAATAAGATCTTAAAATTTCAGGAGGCTCATAAACATTTGTGAGAGGACGAAATTTATAGCTTAACCATAGTGTATCATTTATTTATTTTTTTTGATAAGGTAACAAGTTTCATTAAAAGGACCCGTATACAAGCAGTACACCGAAAAACATAGAACCATAACGTATCATTTAAGCAATTGACAATCATGGCATACAGAAGATATCTATCTTAGCTTTCTAGCACTTTTCACAAGCCATAACAGCTTACTGCTGCCAGAAAAGCACTCCCATACAAGCAATACGTAAGGTTTGATCCTAAAATACTCACATCCTAAACAATCTCGGCAACCACCTCCCCAGAAGAGCAAAAGTTACAAACAGCCCCCCCCCCCCCCCCCTTCCAATCTTTACTCTTTTTGCACATAGAAACCAATTAAGGCTTAAAAATTTGTAGAGCCTTCTAAATTTCAGGAGGTCAATAATATCGACTCTACAAAGGACTAACAACCAAGAGAAATCAGAAGATCAAACCATCTAAAAATGCAGACTTGTCTATTAAAGTAAATATAAATTTAGGCCTTACAAATGATTTCTATATATGATTTTACTCACAAATTCAGCACATAATGGAGTGCAACAAAAATGTGCATGTTTTGCCGCTGGGTTTATTTCCAACTTCCATTATTTTTGGAGTACTTTTACAAAATCAATCTCAAGGATCAACACATTTCTTTAGCTTCGCTTAGATTCCATTAGGTTGTAATTAGTGTAAAGATAGCAAGAATCTCACAGGTTCTGGAAGAACCTATTGGGTGATTAACAAAATTCAGCATCTGAATGTACATCCAAGCCTTTAATTGTTTGTAAAAGCATTGTTTTGCAGCGAAACCAACCTGGAAGCCTCTCACCAGAGACATTAGATGTATCCTCTGATATTTTATCAATGTCACCACTTGAAAGTGCTCGTATAAGCCTAGAAGAAGGTATGAAGAGCAATAACTTATTACAGGACCAAATAACAGATAGCCAAAAGGATAGATTGCAATCCCTCCCTCAAATTAACAATGTAAACAAGGGTTCATTAAACTTACTTTGCAGATATTATAACGTGGACAAAGATAGCCTCTTCCGTAGCAGAAAATATGAACTCAACCACTGGCTGTCCCTTCCTTTAAGAAAGCAGCAATTGCAAATCAAACAGATATAAGGGTTAATTACAATGAAATCGCGATTAGAATGACAGAAGAATAACTCGGGAACTAGCATACATCAAGGAGAACAGTAATACAAAAAACACTTAGACCATGATTAGTATCCAATTCAAAAAATGAAAATGCAAATTCCAGGCACTGGGGAAGCTATGAACATTTAGCAGGCAAATAAAAAAGATATAGCTACTACAAGTGCCACATCCAGAAAAGACTAAAAAGATGTACGTTTTCTCAAACTTCTAACTGTACATAAAAACAGAATGACTCCACAGATTGAGGTTGTAACTGAAAAATCCAAAAGTATACTAGATTGGAATCAGCACCACAGTCCTTTTATCTCCATAACAACTTCTAAGCCGAGGAGCGCACGATTTCATGGCAACATAAGGAAGATAGTACGGTAACAAAGGAGGTTATAAAATCATAGTAAAATCACAATTCTTGATCTCTGTGGTGTCAAACCACTTAGGCAAACAAAACAATGTAACATTAATAAACATACCTGAACAACTCTTCATTCTGTGAAAATGGATGGTGTTTTGTAAATACATCTCCATATCTCACATATGAAAGTCCTCTTAGTTTTCTGCCATTTCACGTTAACAAGTAAATAAATAATAGATCATGGAGACCTCTAACATGTTAGAATAACAAACATTACCTTTCCATGCAATTCCTTAAGGCCTGAGATAGCGCAGCAGCAACCTCTTCTGAATCTCCAGGAGCCACCCAGAGACCAGATGCCAAAACTGCAAAAGATATGATAAAGATTGTTAAGCAAAGCAAAACGAAAAACAAAAACGGGAATCAGGATAAGTTCAAGAGTTAAGTGCAACTCAATTACAAAAACAATGACAATTGGTCAATCAGTCCATCAACAACGCCTCAATCCCAAACTAGTTGGGACCAGTGATATGAGTCCTCTACATATTCCGCTCTATTCAGGCCCGTCAATATTGGTAAGTAACTTGCCGTTTAACACAGATGCCTAGTTCTCTAAGATTGGAGGTTTTCAAAATTCCACACGTGTCCTCGCCAGACCTAACTCAAGTGTAAAAACAACTAAACCCTTAATCTCAACTAGTTGGAATTGCCTAGATGGATCCTTTGCTTCCATTGTATTCTACTCTTGGCTAAACCTGCTTTGATTCCTAAAGATTGTAGGCATTTTCAGACAATTTTCTTCATGTAACTTTAGGTCTACCTCATCCTCTTTTAGCACCTTCAATCATCATAGTGTCGTCTAATATAACATACCTCTTAATTTGGATACAGCTGACTGTGCCTTTTCAACAACAGATGAATGCTGCCCAGGGGAAAAAAGCCAGAGCTTGATCTTCTCATCTGAAAACTAAAAGCAAGCAGAAGTTAGACAACTAAGAAATTTACAGTTTAACTACTTTGCTGATCATCCATACCAGGGTTGTGAAGACCCTGAGATGGGTCCCAAGGTCCAACAAAGGAATTGGTCCACGTGCTGAGAAATCCTTCCTTCTGCAATTGCAGATGCGATGAGAGCACGAGCCATGTAGCAGCGTCTTTCTTATCCAGCTTCACACTTTAAAATAGATCGCAGAACACGAAGAATTAAATAAATTTTACAGGTAGTTTATTCAAAGGAGACAGCACTATGCATAAAATGGACTTTAGACTGCTCAAATATCAAACCTTTTGTCCACCAGAGAGCTGACATCAGATTCATGAGGAAGAAACTGAAACCAAGATATCTGATGTAAGCCACCCTGCAAAACCAGAAAATAATAAATGAGTCCAAGGCAAATATATGCAATCATAATAAGCATCACAACATCAGGGACAGTTCAAGAGTATCATATTAGAAGAAACTATATCTCTTTCTCAGTAATTTTAGACAATCAGTACAAATGGCATGAAAAAGATGCACACAGGCCACATATTTATTAGGATATACCATCAAAGCAGCTGAGACTTCCTCAAAAGAAAGAAAGCTGGAGGACTGATAAAATCCCGAACGTGAAAGGGAATTACCGTTGGTACTACATTATATGTGAACCAGTTTTTGGATCAATCTGTGTGGTCAAACTTTTGGGAGCACCGTACGAGAGCTACAAATATCTGGAATGGTGTAATTGAGAAGTTTGAGAAAAGACTAGTTACAAGGCAGATGCAATGCCTTTCAATGGTTGGCAGACACACACTAATAGTTAGTGTCCTTGACAGCATACCAACTTACTACATGTCACTCTATCCCATGCGAAATAAGGTTCTTAAACAGCTTGACATGATCAGAAGAACCGTCTTACGGGAAGCTAACAGCAAGAGCCACAAACTCCACCTAGTGAAATGGTCCAAAGTCACAATTCCAAAGCACCATGGTGACCCGGTATAAAGAATCTGACTATGCACAACAAATGCTTGCTCATGAAGTGATTGTAGAGGTCTACACAGGAGGATCAAGCTCTATGGAAGAAGGGTGTCAATGCTAAATATGAAGTTCAGAATCATTGGTGTAACAGCTGCTTAGAGTTCCACATGGAATATGCGAACTTTGAGGTCAGTTCTCTCAGAATACTCACTTTGCACTAGGTAATGGTTTACATATCAAATTTCGGGAGGACAATGGTTGGGCAGTTGTACTCCTAATGGATGATTACCAAACCTCCTTTCAAATTTCACGTGTTCCAGATTCAACCATATTCCAGAACAGAGAAGACAGCACCTGTAACCTATACAAGACTGCATGTTTGAGGACTTACTTGACCTTTTCTCTAGACTGGATAATTGCATAGTGAATAACCAGGCAGTTGACAACATAAAGTGGGGGCAATGCCAGTGAAGGGAGACACCCAGTCAAAGCAGGCTACACTTTCTACTGTGCACAGAATGAACGGTTGATTGTTAGCCATGGAAGCTAATATGGAAAAACTAAAGTACCAACAACTGTTATATGTTTCAGCTGGAAAGCTCTGCATGAAGCATGTCTTACCAGGGATAACCTCGGTAAAAGGAACATTCAGATTGTGAATAGATGTTATATGTGCCTTCAAAATACAAAAAACAACAACCACATGCCACAGAGTACTAAGCACGCCTTTGAATGTTGCACTTGGAAAGTTGGTAAAGCCATCAGAAAAATTTGGAAGATGATCCCTTCTAGCATTTTTTTATAATGGTGGTGTCGGGGACAATTTGCACGCACTTTGACTAATTTTATTGGGTACCTCCTACCAGCACTAGTACCGGATAACTCGCCCACCATGACTTAGGCAGATCGGGAAGAAAATACCTAGTGTCTTTTGCCTCCGGGGTTTGAACCTGAGGCCTCATGATTCTTTCCACTTCATTGACCATTAGACCACACCCTTGGGTGCGATCCCTACTAGCATTTGTTGGTGTGCATCAATGTTGTAAATAGCGAGCGCTACATCGCTAATAGCGTGTGGCGACGCGAGGCGAGCCAGCTGCGCTTTTTTGGTATGTTGCGTTGCGAATCAGAAAAGGCGAGCGCCTCTGCCTGTGTAGCGAGAGGCACTGCGAGGCGAGAGGCGCTTCGAGGCGACGCTATTTGAATAAAAACGGAATAAAAGTAAGCGATTTAGATTAAAACACAAAATTAGGGCTTGGGTTTCACTTCTTCTCCTTCAGCGACGAGCAGCGACCATTTCTCGGCAGAAAAATTAGGGCTTCATCTTCTTCTTCATCTTCATCAGCCATCAGCACACTAACTCAGGTATGTTACTTTCTTTTCTTTTCTTCTTCTACTTTCTTCTTCTTCTATTTCAGCTGTCTTTTTCTTTTTTTCTTCGCTCTGGTCGACTTCACTATTGTTGTCTTCTTCTTTTTTCTTTTTCTTTTTCTTTCTTCACTGTTCAGCTCTTTCTTCTTTCATTGCTCTGTTTTTCTTCTTCTTTATTTGCTCTGTTTTTCTTCTTTCTTTGCTCTGTTTTTCGAGCAGAGGCAGTAGCCCTTTTTTTTTTGCTTTGTTTTGTTTGCTCTGTTTTTTCAATTATAGACTTATAGTTTTATAGAGTAAAATTAATAGCATATTGACTTGATAATTTTTTTTCTATAAAACAGCATTGAAATGGCTTCACATTGAGTCTTTAATTTTTTTCTATTGAGTCTTTAATTTTTGAATTGATATATTTATTAATATATTATTGTTATTGAGTTTTTAGTTATATGAATATAATATTTTATGTTTTTGTATAAATTGTCACTTCACATCAAAAAGGCGAGCGCTTCGTTGCGCGCCTCTCGCCTCAGTGAAGCGGGCCCTCGTCGCTATTTGTCGCCGCACGCTATCCAAAACACCGGTGTGCATGGACATAATGGAACAGAAAATGTTTTGATGGTTTATCAACCCCAAATCATTCTCTTAAGGCTAGAAGTCTATTGTATCTCGTTAGTTGGCATAATGTGTCCCATGTAGATCCCCTAATAACTCTTTTGAACTTTGTTAGCTCCCGGGACTTAGCATAACCATTGCAGCAGATCTATGGAGTATGTTTATATCACTTTTTGGGCTTAGATGGGTCATGCCACATAATATCAGGGATGTTTTTGAGTCTTGGAGTTACTGGAAAGTTGATAGCACCATCAGGAAAGTCTGGAAAATGATACATGCAGCTATTTTTTGGAGCATTTGGAATGAGAGAAAGAGCAGATGTTTTGATGGAGTATCAACTTCTCCTCACAAACTCAAGGCTAGATGCCTCATGTATCTGTATAGCTGGGCTTATCTATCCCCTATAAACTCCCCTGATAGTTTTTGAATTTTGTTAGCTCCCTAGAACTAGTATAAACATCTGTAAGGAGCTAACAATCCTCCCTTTATTTTGCTATACTCTTTTGTAATTTCTGCATCTTCTTGATGCCAGCAATGAAACCAATTACTTCACCAAAAAAAGGACTTAGCATAGCCATTATGTAATGGAGCTAACATCCTATATTTTGCAATCTTACATTTTGTGCTCTTTTGCATCTTCTTGACGGGAAGCTACTTACTTCATCAAAAAGACCCTAAAAGATGGAATAGGAATGTATATACAAGGAAGAAGATCACGTTGAGGAAATTGATGACAAGTTCTGGGACTCAGAGAGGGTAGGAGGAGAAGGATTTTACTGGAGGAGAAAATGAGAAAAAGGGTGATAATGGAACTAGTGGTTGTGGTAAGTTGCTAAGGAAATTAGCTGAAAGCAAACGAGAGTGTTCGGTAAAGAAACTGTCTGCTGGTTGGGGAAAAGTATTTGAGGAGGAGAAGAGGTCAGGAAGGCAATTGAGGGCCCCGCTGCTCTCCTTTTTTGTGGGGAAAGAGAGGCTAAGCTATGTCGATCAAACTCTTCAAAATCCATGTACATCCGTGTCGACACGACATGGGTTGGGTGTGGGTATGGATCCACGTCAGATTTGGACAACTTAGGTGCTTTGACTATATCTATGACCGAGAAGTATAGATTGATTAGTTTGATTAAGGGTTTATGTCATATAAAGAATGAGAATGCTTTGCTATTACGCGTATCTTATGAATACAATATTAGGTGTTTATAAGGAATTAAATTTTATTAATTTTAGTTCAATAACTTTAATTAACTAAAATATAAGTCGTAATATATATATATATATATATTCTTTTATCGGTCATATTCCATGCACCCGTATCCTAAAATTTATGTGATGAAGAATCCGACCTCTAGATCTACACCCTTATTGGATACCCAAACCCGAGCCCGAGCAACATAGAGGAAGTACAATTGAGGGCTTGTACCAAAAAAAAAATACTCTAGCAAGACTGGAAATAAGAAAACGCATGTTAAGTTACCTATTTGAATTCCATGGAAACGGGATAATAGTTAGGACACAATTTCATTACTAGGGTTTTCAAACTTATAAAATTAAGCAAGTAAAAATAACAAATCAACAATAAGAACTTGCAACTTAACCCTCAAAAATAGTAGTCCTAATATCAGAACAAAGGCAAGGGTAATGAGTCATAAAAGGATATAATGCAAGAAACATACGATCTTGAACACATTTGTCCACATTATTAGATAATTTTGAAGCCCGCTGAAGTAAACACGTGTAGTTCTCTGGAATTTGGATCTTAGGGTATATGACGTGTATCGAAGGCATGAAGCATTTCCTTGCACAACAAAGGGGCTGCAGTTCCTTCTAACAGAACATGGAAAACGAAAAATAACAAAGGATTAGTGTTTGTACGAAAAAGATAAAGGGACTTAATAATCTCACCCCAAAAAAAGTAAGCTTCTGCTTTTCTAGGACAACTAGAGAGCAAACAACTACTTTTATGTTACTTGGGGAGATCCTTTTAGCTAATGGTAAAGCAATCAATAGATTAAGCGTAGAACATAATTCAAAACTTTAACTCCAGATCTCTTCAGTATGCAATAACTTTCCATCTAAAAATATGCATCTCTCTCACTTCCAGCTTCAAATCATACAAAACTCCATCAATCAAATAAAAACAACAAAACACAAACAAAAAGGCACAAGATCAGAATCCAGAATTATCACTCCGCATTATAATAACACCAAGGAAGGCGATATTCATTTCAGAATTAGAATTCTACATAGCAAACAAATTTGAGATCAATAAATAACAAGGCAAAAATATTATAAATTCACATTTTAAATGAAAATTAAGTTGAGTACAAGTAGACGACAAGAGAAAAACTGCAGACGAAGCACTACCGTATGTACTAGTGACCATCTAAGGCTCCAAGTTAAAATAAAGAAGCGTCTTTCGAAATCAACCCCATTTGTAACAAGGAGAGCGAAAGAGTTAAAAAAATTCAGTAAGCCAAAACTCACAAATCCAAATAGATTAACTTAAAAGATTTTCTTCTAGATTAATAAACAATAAATTGAAAAATTGGTTGCAACATGAAAACTTGCTACTAGAGAATTGGAAGATAGCATCATCGATGAAGATTTTAGCCATAGAGATTTTAAACTTTTTAATAAATAATCAAAATTTCTCTTCGTAATTCGAGAGAATACTTCTCTACCTTCTTAAGGTAGGAATACGGTCAACGTACACTCTACCCTCCCCTGACCCACTAGTGGATTACACTAGGTTTGTTATTGTTGTTGTAATTCCAGAGAACACTTCAACAAAGCCACCATGCACACCGTCATACACCCGGCCGACATCCCAATGGCCATTAAAATCTCCTCCTAGAATAAGCTTCTCGGTGAGCGGAATGCCCCGCACTAACCCATCTAAATCTTCCCAGAAGCGCCTCTTAACCTCCCCGTCCAAACCCACTTGAGGTGCGTAAGCACTAACTACGTTCATGGTACACCCTCCCACGACTATCTTAATAGCCATCAACCTGTCATTCACTCTCTTAACCTCCACCACTAACTCTCTAAGTTCCCTATCCACTAAAATGCCTACCCCATACTTCCCTCTCACTACCCCTCAGACAACTCTAACATATGAAAGGAAATTCTAGACAAGGTTTCTAAAGTAAATGATCTTAAACCATGATGTATAACTCGATAAGCATTAACATGGAGTCTTGAAATGATTTCTATACCCAGTGAAATTTACAATATGATTTCTACATGAAAATTCTAAGTCATTATTGCTAAACAGGACAAACCTCATACAATAAGCATTTTCTTTCTTGATAAACATGTACTGCTCACGTTTTAATTGATACAATCAGAGTTTAACTTCCTAACAGAACATGATTTATACTAAGAAATTAAACAACACCAAACGCTTATACAAAGAGCCAGCCGTAATTCATGATATTTAAACTAAAATATTCGCACAAAGGTCGATCCTAAATCATGGTATCAATAAAAAAGTAGACCTTAGCTCGCGTTTTCTAATCAAGCCATATAATCATTCTAGTTGTTAAGAAGAAAAATCAGAGCCTTAAATGTTACTGACCAATTTTGGAGCAGCGAAACGGGGCTTCGACGGCTTCGGATCTACTCCTTTTTCTACGGATTCGAACTAAATGGAAGAAGTTCGGAGTAAAACTTGCTGCCTTAAAAGAAAGTAATCAAACGAGAAACTACAGTAGCGTGGTCCAGAACTTTGTGTATATTTTGAACAGTGGTGGCGGCTCTGAACAAAGTAGTCTGAGATGCAAGTATTGATAATAGAAAATCTAGGGCTTGAGTCTTTGAGCGAGATTTTGAAAGGCTCTAGAGTTTTCATCCACAGTCATATAAAATCTTCGAGGATGGATTTTGGGTCAGCCTTCGGCAGAAGAAAAGCAAAGAACAGAAAGCAGGTGTTCTTGCTTTGAAATCGAAAAGGGGGAAAAAGTAGATTTTGTGTCTCAATTACCTTAGTCAAAATCGTCGAGAGTAAAGGATTTGCTTTCAAACGATTACCCAAGTGGTGAGACCCCTCCTACTTGCTTGAGATTTGTGATTTCTTGGAGAAGGAAAGAGAGAGGTTGAGATGGGAGGAGGGGTAATGTAAAATAGATAAATAATCTGTTTAATACATAAAAATGTGTTAATTAGTGAATGATACCCAATATATTATGGCTTTCCGAATGTGATTATTTAATGTTGAAATTCCAATTTGAGTCTTTAAAATATAAAGTTAAACATTATTCACGAAGTATTTAATTTTTAAGTTAATAATATAAATTTTATTCATATTTAATTTATTTTTAAAAAAATTATTATTTAATCCATCTTTATGAATAATTATTTTTTTAATTTATTTTGCCATCACTAGTTGAGAGTCACGGACCTATTTGTTTGTAATCTGAAGGGCTTTTGGGTTTGTGCTGGTCTTGATGGTAAATAAGATGGGTTTGTGCTAGGTTGGGCTATTTAGTTGTAAGAGGTCTTGCTAGGCCGAATTTGATAGGCTATTTTTTTTTTTTTAAAGAATTAACCCAAATAGCCGTCTACCTAACATCTTAAATTAAAAATAGCCAATGGAGATATAGTGTATGCATAATTTATATATTATATGTGTATAATTATGTATAATGAATGTATAATCTATGTATATGCTAGAAAAAATAAACAATAAATATGACCGGCTATTTGTGTAAAGATCCCATTTCCTTTCTCAAATTAATTTATCTGGGCTTCTTAGTCTTAATAACTTGGACTAAAATAACAACAACGATAACAAACTCGTTGGAATCCCACGAGTAAGTTTTAGGGAGAGTAATGTGTATGCAGACCTTACATGTCATATGAAGGTGAAGATACAAGTTATTTATTGCTCATGTGTTGTCCATCTATCATTATTCATGATCATATCTAAGCAGGGCCTAAGGCAAAACCATATTCGGAGGCCCTTAATCCCAGTATAATCTCACTAGTGGGATCTTGGGAGGGTAGTTTGTACGCAGACCTTACTCCTTGTTTCCGATAGACCCTCGGCTCCCTCCCTCCAAGAACTCCCAACTTGCTCTTGGGGTGACTCGAACTCACAACCTCTTGGTTGGAAGTGGAGGGTGCTCACCACTAGAGCAAACCACTCTTGTCAAATATACTAATTAATGAGGGAAGAAAATTATCGTAATTTATAAATTTATTGTATAAAATAACCTCAATCAAGTAACAAAAAATATACTGTAACACTTTTATTATTCTAATTATTTATATAAATTATATAATATATAATAATAACAATAATAATAAGAATTTAAAATAAATTTGGGGCCTTCAAAATTTGGGGGCTAAGGCAACCAAAGCCTTAGAACCGCCCCTGTATCTTAGTTTGGGTCAAGTTATAATTATTTGCTCGCTTGATTTATCTATATAAATCTAAAAGGGTAATAACAACTAAATTCTAAAGTTGATCAAAGGTTTACATTTGGATCGTACAAATAAAACATGTCTTCGCGCAAAGAAGTATCATTTGCTACCGCTGCCTTTTAAAAAGGCAAGAGGTCCTGTTGATTGGCCATTATATTCGACAATGTACCATTACTGGACGAAACAAATTGGAAGGGAATTTTCGATTTTAGCGTGTCAATTTTTCATTATTGTTAACATGTTGAATAAAACTAGGGGTGTCAATGGATATTTATAAATCGATTAAATCGATTGAACCGTACTGTATCGAACTGATTTTTAGGTTTCTTTATATAAAATCAAAGGTTTTTATATAAATCTACAACTGTACCGATAATTATGGTAGGTTTTTTATTTTATGAAAATAAATCAAAAAAATACCGAACTGTACCGAATAAATTTACATGTAAAAAATATATTTATATACTAAGTTTAAAAATAATAAAGTATTAAATTTTTCTTAACCTTTGAAATTATAAAAATAATTACAAGCCAACAAGTAATTAAAGTCAAAATCCTAATTTCCAAACCTATTATGTTACTAGCAAGACACAAAGTATTCTAACGATTATAAGTAGCAAATTATAATATATTGAATATGTTTCTTTTTGTATGATTTAGATTTATCTTTTTGAATATTTAATCTTCTATAGACTTTATTCTTAAGTCCCAACTTGGTTAATATCTTTCTACTCGTGTGATTTATTTTTTCTTTGTCTTTGTTTAGTTTCTTTTATGTTGTTGTAGAGTAGTTGATGGATCTATACTATAGCCATCTTTCATGTTTTCTTAATTCATCACCATTTAAACAGTAAAATCGTTTAGAGAGTTTTGCTAAGTCCAATAAAAGTATGTATATTATTACATTTTACTTTTACTAGCGACTTTTACATGACATTTAAAAAAATATCGAAAATTAACCGAATCATATAGATACCGAAAAGAAACCGACATGATCGGGACGATTTCGAAAAGTTTAATTTTAATTATATATAATAGAATAATCAAATAATAGATATGATACAAATTTTATAAATTGGTCGAACAATTGACACCCCTAACAATGATCCCACTAGGTTTTGTCTCGTATAATGATTGCAAATGAAAAGTAATGATGTTCAAGAACTGTCCAAACCATATTTTGTACGAAATGAGATAATAAGAAACCAAAAAGTAAAAATGAATTAAGAGTAGAGTGCCAAAAAAAAAAAACTATTAAACTTTTCAGGAAGTAGACATTTTTTTTCTTTTAACTAAATTTTGTAGCATTTTTCCTCTTTAAAATTTTGAAGTTCAAAAATATCCTCCTCCCCTTGATTTTTGGTTAACATTAATTACAAAATACGTAGTAACTTAACTCTTTAGTTTTTTTTTTTTTTTTAGTAAGAGGGGAAACCCGCATACAACCTTTTTCACAGTCTCTTTCCTTTGGGCGAGCATTCGGTAGTAAATACTTTGTGCGCATTGGGTAAACTTCCCCATGTGTAATAACCTGCAAATCACACAGGGAATGTAACCGCACTAAATAAGCTATGTACGACATGCTCAACTCATAAACATTGAAAAGAAAATCGATCACAGATCATCCGTATAGATGATCGTTCTCCAAAAACCCCCCGAAGGGTCTCTTTAGTCTTTATGTGTGCTTTTCTCTCTGTTCTTTTCATAATGTTTCTTTCTCCATTTCTTTCCTTTTACTTCCAACCACCAATTTCCACTACATAGTCAACCCACTCACTCCTCTCCTTTGGCTCCTCTGTTTTGTCCTGCTGCAATCATTCTTCTTCTTATACTCCCCCCTCATTCTCTTCCTTTCAATTGTTCCCCTTCTCTTCCTTCCTTCTGCTTCTTCTCTTGACCTATCAATTTCTCATTTCTTCTGTAGTTATTTTTGTTTTTCATTTATTTATCTTGGTGTGCCATGATCTTTTTCTTTTTCTCTTTTCTTTTCATCTTGTTCTCCATTCCTGCGAAGCAGGTTGCTAGTAAAAAATAGGACTCCCTTTTTTTAGAAAAATCATGAAGAAGCAACAAACTAAGGATAAACTTGGTATTTTAACTATAAAAAGTAGCAGGATAAAAATGTCACAGACAAAAAGTTCATGAGGATGTTATGAAAATTACTCTAAGAAAAAAGCATTTATTTTTCAATAATCAAAAGAGTTTTGTGGCATATTACGTAGTACTAGTAGTACTTAATAAAGAAGAAAAGAAAACAGCCTTTGGAGAGCTGAAATATATTGGTTCCAATTGTCTAATATATCAATTGGATATTTGGTATTTGGAATTAATTGTAAAGACGTCCTTTTTCTCACACTCGAATCTAAATCCCTTTTCTCACACTCGAATCTAAATCCCACGATTAACATTAACAGAGATGCTTATCCGTAAAATGGTACAGTTGAATTTATACGTGGTGTCTAGATAAGTGAACTAATTTGATCCTGAAATAATGCAATAATTAAAGAATTGTACAATACTTAGCCTTAAAATGTAGATAAAACAGCAGAGATGACAGTTCCGGGAACAAGGTTTCCGAGCATAGTAATGATGAGATAAAAAAAACGGGAAAGTAAGATTACATTAAGCTTTATATAGAATGTAGTGTAAGTTTAGCCAGAAATTTCGTGTCCTTTACAATGATAACTGGGCTCACTATTTATAGTTGTGTCTAGGGAAGGAGGTCCTAGGATTGTGCCCTCCTTTAATATCAATTATGAGGGTCATTGATGAAAATGTAACGGTAAACATAAATGTCAAATTCTCTATAACGGGTCGTCGCTCTTAATGCTGCAGAATATTCTTTATCAAATGCTAACGGGCGCAGAGCATTTAATACACTTTAATGAACGTTATCCCTTCGGTGACAAGCGGAATGACTGCGTTCGGTCTTCGGCCTTCCCCGTCTTGGATTCCACGTGTCTTTCCTTTAGATGATCATGTGTCATATCATATTTTACCCTATACATATAGCCCTCTGCTTTCCGGTGACATAACTTCATATTACCAGGAAGTTGGTAGAAACACTATTTTGGCGAGAATTACTATAACTTCCTCTGAAGGCTTCTGACGGTTGACTAGACGTGCGTCTATCCGCATTTAATGCCCCAAACACGCGTCATCCCACGATTCAGCACAGCTTTTGCAGATTGTTGAAGTAATCATGGCCGAATTTAGCCACCAAAATTTCACTTATGCGCATCATTCTTTTCCTTTGCATTTCATAATTTCTCGAGCTTCTGATTTGTATCTTTGTTCTCCATCCTTTCTCTAATTCTCTTCAAACAAAACCCTTTTCCTTCGTCTTATTCAATGGCTTCTTCCTCCGAGCGTGCCGGTTCTTCAAAGAACAAGAACAAAGTCGAGGACTCTGCTCCTCCAACAATGGGTTCCATCATCCCAAGAAGACTCAGTACCACAAAGGACTTTGAAGAGAAACTCCCTATTACTAACCCTCGTACATGGGTTGTTAGTAGGTACCCTTCTTCCATTCGTCCTTCCAGTATTCCTGCTGTGAAGGAAGACTGCCACTGCCATGAGTTGGATATCATTGCTCCTAATCTATCAGAGCGAGTGACCCTTCCCAAGGAAGGTTTTACATATTTTTACACGTATCCATTTACTTTGGGTACGTTTTCTTTGAGTGGAGAGCTTGATTCC